ACAGCACAGAGACACAGCACACAGCACAGAAAAACAGCACACAGCACACACACAGACACAGAGCACACACAGCACAGAGACACAGCACACAGCACCCACAGACACAGCACACACACAGACAGCACAGAGCACAGCACACAGCGCACACACACAGCACAGAGACACAGCACACATAGACAGATCACACAGCACACACAATACAGACACAGCACACACAGCACGCAGCACACATACACACAGCATACACACTCTGCACACACGCAGTACACTGACAGCACACACACTGCGCACAGACAGGACACACAGCATGCACACACAGCGCATACACACAACTACAATTGTCCCCATTTCTTGTGTGACAGAACTGGTGACTTAAAGTTAATAAGACACTGGATCAGATTTCAGGCCAGGCAGAGGGGGAGAGGAGGTTAGTTTCCGAACCCCGAACTCCCTGCCTGTCCCCCATATCAACATTCCTGCTCTGCCCTGCCAGCAACACAAACTCGATCTGACTATTTTTGAATGCAAGGATCAGCTCGGCTTACTCTTTGTGGACATTTTTGTTACATTTTAGATCAACTCAAAATAATATAATAAATATCCTACCTTGTAATCCAAGGGGCTTCTGTGATGTTGCTTTTTTAATTTGTAAACTGTAGACTCTAAGGGTGTACTTAAAAAATGCATGTAAATGTTAAACCTTACCAACATACACTTTAAAATATGCAGTTCATAATCTACAATCTGCTCTTCACATTTGAAACCCTCAAAGCACGTCTGCTATGGACTGAGACGCCTGCAGATGAAATCTATTCGGTTTTCTGAGCAGGAGTAATCAGAAGGTCATACGCACAGGGAAGGTCTCGAACCCCTAACCCAACCACATCAAGAACATGACAAAAGAGGCCAGAGTTGACAGAGTTGAGGCCACAGGCATGCGTTAGAGGGGATGGCGTTTCAGGAAGGCAAATGTAAAAACTGAATTTTTACAAAGTTCAAGTCCCGGGCACAGCTACGTTTTGCGCAGAGTGAAGGATTCCTAACCTGAAAGCTGAATCTGGCGGGACCTGCTCCAGCAGTATATCTGCCACGTGAATTCCTCACACCACACTCTCAGCTGGCTGTCGCCACTGCCTGATGCAGAGGAAACATACTGTCCTGCTTTGTTTCCAGAGGGGAATGATCCTGGTGGTTTCCACTTACTGTCTTTAAAATAAAAAGTTGTATTTCTGCATCGCCAGGCTGTTGCTCTGATCCCACTGTTCGAGGGGCCACCTGGAACGTTTTAAGGCTTGTTTCTACTGTACTTCATGGTAATTGTTAGCAGGTCCAGATTGCTCAGAATTGTTCAGCGTGACATCATGAAAAAGATTGTCTAGAAATCTGCTGAGAGATCCAGCGCAGCTACTGATATTCATCGCGTAACATACTGTAACCATTATGTCAAGTCTTATCTGTTTTCAGTTCAATCCATTACTGCTCGGTGGAAAAAAACGTTTTGTTTTAAAACAAAAAAGTCTGAACTGCCACAAAGCTGTGAGCTCTCCTGGCATGAGTGAATACACGCTATAACCATCTACAGGACAGTGTTTTGTTTTGACATGAATCTCTTTGCTGCTGTACCGTCGCTGAAAACAATGACTAGAAAACGGGCTCATTCTGGGCGCAGTGGTGCAGGGGTCAGTATCGCTGGATACTGGCGGAGCTGGGCCTTGGGTTCAACTACAGACCTGGGGTGCTGTCTGTGTGGAGTCTGTATGTTCTCCTGTGCTCGTGTGGGTGTCCTCCCACAGTACACATTGCCTACCAGGACAGGCTCTGGCACCACTGTGAGAGAAGTGGATAGAGCGATTAGAGACAGGTGGATGGGGTCTCTCTCAGGGCACTGGACTGTGTGCACAGAAGAGACAAGGAGGGCATGGAGGACTGGAGACTGGGCACAGAGCACTGATCAAAAACACAGCAGCCGTATCTCCCTGCAGCTCCCAGCTGGCCGCCCACTGGAGCCCAGCAGTGAGAGCCTGGCCAGTACCTGGAGGAGAGGTGTCAGTGGGGCCAGCAGGGGGCGCTCACCCTGGTGCCTGTGTGGGTCCTAATGCCCCAGTACAGTGATGGGGACACTACACTGTAAAAAGGCGCCGTCTTTCATAAACAATCCCAGGATGTTTCTTGAGAAGAGTAGAGGGTATTAGTCCCAGTGTCCTGGCCAAATTTCTCCCTGGCTTTTACCCATCATGGCCTCCTAATAACCCCCGTCTCTGAACTGGCCTCATCACTCTGCTCTCCTCCCCACTGAGAGCTGGTGTGTGGGGAGAGGACTGGAGCATCATCCAGGTGGGGGTGGAGGGGAAAAAAGAGCTATAGAACTGTAAGGAGTTCTATTATTCTAAAAATCTGCAAAGTTTAGAGCAAACTCTCTATCTTGTTATTGCTAACAACCTCAGCCTGCAGGAACCACATGCCTGTACTCTTTCAGAGCACTTGTCCATTATTCACTGGCACTGACAGTGCTGCTCACACAGCTCCCGTTTCAGCAGGGAAAGAGCCGTGGGCAGAGTTTTCCATCCAGCCTGCGATGATCCAGATCCAAAGAGAGACTCGGAAGCTAAATGACGGCTCCTATATGGACATGGAAAGGCATCGCTGGCCTCTTTGATGTCACACTACAGCGAGCGTTCACAATGACCACTGGACACTCCCTGCGATTGCAACCAGAAAGTGCTTGGGAAAAGAGCACCTAGACTGTATGGCAGAGCCTGCAAACAGAAGATTTATGGGTGCAAACCCCTGAGAGGCACTGAAAAGGTTAGAGGAATCCCCCTCACTGTCCCCTCGCACAAACGATGGAGCCAGTGGGCGGCAGGCGAGTGGGGCAGGGACCTGGCTGTCACCACGCGCAGGGGTCCACCGGGCCAGAGGGACACAGGCCACAGGACTGGATTCAGGCGGCACCTCCTCCACGCCCGGAGGCAAGGGGGCTGCTGGGATTGGTCAGGGCTCCTTCCTTGCGGGGGCCGGGGGCTGGGACAGGACAGGGGTTTGGAAAGGGCGCGGCCTCGGTCTCCCACAGCGTCGGTGCGTTTCCCAGCAGCACAGTGGGCCTCAACACTGGTCAATGGCGGGAGAAGGCTTCGAGGGGGAGCAGAACGTCATCCGGGCAGCTTCTGTTTTCTTTAAAAGACTATGCCAGAGCCAGAGCTGTGATGTAAACATTTTCACAATAACTTCCGAGGCAACGGAAACTGTACTTCGGGTTTCCCACATCCCAAAAAGAATCAATGACTGCATCACAGAACAGGCATAAGTAATCAATTATGCTGGATTTTGCTGTTATGATGGATTTCTTTTGGTGTTTGTCTGCCTACCCCAACTCAACCCACCGCCCTGCTCCTTACCACCGTGACAGAATGACAATGGCCCCCGATATCACATGCGCTGGGACAGCTGTCGAGCTCAGGAGAAACAAGCCGAACCGATACCAGGTCAGGCGCGTTACCAGAGCTCGTCCGCTCAGCTGCTCGGCCTGCCTGTCCTGTATATACCCATTGCTCATCGGCACAGCAGCACTGACGGCACCAAGAAATATTTCACTTGGCAAGACCTTTTAAAGCTCATTGAATGGACCACTTTCTAACTGCCAAGCTGCACAGTTCTGAAATGGACAGCAGTTCTCTGAACTGTGTCGAAAAGCAGCGGGACCTCCAGGCTACAGCTTGAGAACTGTGTCCAGGGCGACGGGCGACAGGCAGTCCTGGCGTGACCTGGCGGTATTTGAACCGCAGTGATCGGAGGAAGGGACTGGCCGGGGCCTGGCCAGTAGGGGGAGACAGACAGAGGGGCTGATGGAGGAAAGGAGGGCAGGGACTGGCACGCAGGCAGGTAGGCACGCCCACAACTGGTGCTGGGGCGGAGGAGCAAGGAGGGGTGTGCTTTACTCCAAAAATAACAGGAGGAAATGAGGGCGCGCTGGCTACACGCAGGCGGGCAGGGCACACCAGCTGGGGTGCCAGCAACAGACGCGCCACATCAGGGCCGAGGAATGCGGGTTGAGCCGGGGTTAGAGAGCAGCCATATTCAATCACTCACAGTGCACTGACACACACACACACAGCACTCACAGTGCACTGACACACACGCACACAGCACTCACAGTGCACTGACACACACGCACACAGCACTCACAGTGCACTGACACGCACACAGCACTCACAGTGCACTCACAGTGCACTGACACACACACAGCACTCACAGTGCACTTGCACACTGCAATCTCACACAGCACTCACAGGACATTCACACACAGAGCGCAATCATACAACCCCAGCAGACTGACACACCACAGCTGTGGACATACAGGTCACAAGCTGCACTGGGTCTGCTGGAGGCTGAACCAGCCGAGGATCAGAGGTGGGGATGGGGGTTTAAACAATCAGTGTTTCCAGTCCCATAGTCTTGCTGAAGAAAATGAGGAGAAACCCGCTGACATATGGACAAAGAAAAACTCATCCGGAACAAGTGAGAGTAGTTTTCCGTGTCTCTGTCACAGCAGAGTGTGGGCACGCTTCATCACCACCAGCCCACAAGCTCAGCTCTGAGTGACGTGCGTGTGGCTGCTGGACGGACAGGCGCTGAGCTCTCCGCGGCGCGTCAGCGCACCAACAGGCAGCAGCTGTGGCTGGCGAGTACGGGCGCAGCACACTCTCAGCCAGCAGATCTCACGGGGAGATCTGTGATCTGCTTTTGCTCGCCAGCTGGCACGTTCCGCTGCTGGAGCAGATTAACTGCTGATCAGGGCTGCAATAAATTTGCCATATAAGCCGACACAAGAGCTCTGTGCCTGTAAAAGGCAAGTGTCATTCCCAGCACGTGAAGAGCTGTCGCTGCTTTGTTTAAGGCAAGACTCTCAGATCCTCTGCTCACGGGCAACAGTCCCGCAGGCCCAACAGGCCTCCTTAGATCATCAGGACCAGAGCGCTGGCAGATTTCAGCTCATCAACGAAGGCTTAAACACAGCAGCCGAACCCTCCAGCACGAGTGTGAAGCAGCTGCTGATCGACGGGCAAGACACAGGGTGCTTATGAAGTTCGCTGGACTCTTTATCATGAACACCAGAGATCACTGGCAATGACAGTCCACACTCGCCTATTGGAATTCCTTGTGTGGGCATAAGACACGTGCTTCCGCGTCCACATGGTCATTGTCCATTAATCTCGTTAGAATAGGAATTAGGTATTAGCTTGGCTCATACTTTTTTCCCCGAAAGACTTATATTCACATCATTTACAAGCTGGGCATTGTGACGAAGCTCTGTCACCCAGAATTTGAACCCGCAGCCTCCTCATTACAAGTTAAGAGCTCTGAGGGAAGAGTCCTCCACACTGCTATCCAGGTAAGCACACCGCAGGTCGCCGTGTCCACGGTGCACTTACAGGAACTGAACGACTAACTTCATGAGCCCCCTGCTCTTAAAGCGCCAAGCATAAAAGATCCAGGACCACAGTGGCTTCTGTCCATGAAGACACTCGCGGGTCACGAAGGGCACAGCCCAGATGAACCGTCAAGTCAACACTGGACCAGAGTCAGACATTTAACACCATGCTCCTCTCTCCATCCTCTTGAGCACCTGCAGAGGAGACAGCCGCCCCGCTGATGGCAGCAGCCCAGGATTAACAGCACCGGCACCAGCACAAACAGCAGGCCCACACAGATCCGATATATTTCTGTTAGCCGTCTGTGTTTCCACACGCCACACGGATTTCCACAAGAGGAAATGACAGAAGCTCGTATCTTCCATAGTTTCTCTTTATATTATTACAAAACTTTATACAGAAAAAGGCTAAACTCCCCACTGTGTGGAAGACAAAAATAAAAAAATCTCATCAAAAAGCATAAATAATAGAAAAGACAAACTTTTTTTTCTTAAAACAGATACATTCATATGCAATAATATTTTACTACTACAAAAAATAAATAAGTGTCTAAAAAGTTGTCACTGCTGTTTTCCTGCCTCGCTTGTGCACGCTGATCCTCCCTCCTGCTCCTGGGCTCCCTGTGTCCTTGTACAGCCACTCACACCCCGGCGCCTCCTGGGCCGCAGACCTTCAGGTCTCCAGCAGCTCCGGCTGTGAGAAGTCCCCAAGGGCTCTGTCCATGGCCGTGCCTGTGGAGATCCAGCCCGCCGTCTCGGGACAGTCCAGGACCGGCGGACCCCGAGTCTCCCAGCACACCAGCACAGGTCCCTCCGCCTCCCGACAGTGCAGCTCCTCACCTGCCCGAGAGACACGACACTCGCCGGTCAGGAGGAGCAGGCCAGCGGCACAATCGCGAGGGCGGCGGCCGGCGACACAGACGGATTTCCAATCATGCTGCATCTCGGTACTCTTCAGATGCAGTGGCTGAAGTATTTAGCACTTCAGTACTTACAAGACACACTGTGTCCAGCTCTCCCGAAAACACTTTGGCGTCACAGTGCAGAGTCGTTTTTTCCTGTCTCTTTGAGGAAAGGAACAGCCTGAGTAATTCGACGCTGTTCGACACTGAGAGCTGAGTCCAGAACTCCTGCGCTGCGTGGCCCAGCTGCCCTGGGACAGACTTGGGGTCCGTGTGGCCCTCACCAGGGAAACTTCTCTGAGCCGGTCCCAACAGAACCCAGATCTGGGAGTCTGGTTGGGAACTGGGGAGATGATGGTCTCAGGCCTGACTGTGCAAGCTCCTTGTCCAACTACGTCTCGTTTACATAGGAATGGGACACTATCTTCGAGACGCTGAAGTGACTAAACCCCCAGGCAAAGCAAAAGGTGTTTTGATTATACCAAGAACAATACATGTGTCTGTTTTTCTCACTTTTTTCATATGCACTTTTTTAAGGGGTCAATGCTAGCTTTTCTTGTTTTGTGAGAGATGTGTAATTCACAGCACCAAGGCCCGTGTGTGGTCAGAAGACTGTCCGTGCTCCTCCGGGCCGGGGTGTGACAGACGCCAGGGAGCGCTGCCGGCCTTCTGGAGCAGGCAGGAAGACGGACAACTGGGAACGGGCAGGTGGTTCAGAGCCATTGATGCTCTCTGGTCGGGATCAGTATCTTTAGTGGTGGCCAGTGCCAGCGAGCACTTCTAGCAGGAGATTCAGCTGTTCTTTTCACTGGGGAAATAATCTGCCAGCTGACCCACCCCTGAGGTCTGGAGAAGCTCTGAACTGGCCCAAGTGATCAGAAACAGAACCACTTGATCAAACTCCCATGTTCCTTCTGTGTCCTTTAGACTGTCACCAGAAAACCTGCAGAACTGTAGGACTCCGTGCCCAGACCTGACCATCTCCACTGCACAGTCCCAATCCAGAGCCTACAGCAGCACAGCACAGGGATGGTTCACTCTTTTCAGCTGCCCCTGTAAATGATGATGATGCCCTTCTCTTACCTCTCCCTCCTAGCTGGCAGTATTCCCCTGCCTGGCAGCAGGAATGCTGGGAAGGCGGAAGGGTCATGCTGCCTTTCTCCCCTTCCTCGCCCAGTTCCCCTGGGCATTGTGGGACAGTGGGGGTGTCGCAGCCCGGGGTCACATGAGCCAAGGGCATCATCTCCAGCCCATCCTGCTGGCAGGGTGACATGTGATGCATCATGGGAAGAGTGCCATTAGAGAACGTCCCGTTGGTCTTTGTGTAGCATCTGGAAAGCCAAAAAAGCAGCATTAGAGAGAAACATTCAGGTTTTAAAATAAATGAAAATTCCTGGCACAGCTCACATCTCAGCAGGGGGCGTGCGTTACTTCAACACTGGCCTCATGTGTCAAAGCAGAGCCATAGATCGATGCTGAACATGGAAATCAGGATTACAGACGAAATATCAGAAGACACCTGAAGGGGGGCTGCAGTCCTGATTTCTCTGACCAGTTTTTAAATCTCAGTAACAAAATGGATCAATCAAAGGTATCACACATTTTTACAAATACTGAATTAAGCTCAAAATCGCAAACTTTGTGGAGTATGTATGATCACCACATTGACACAAACCCCTGCTCTCCACCGAATTGTGACAGAAGTAGCCCTTCCTGCTCACTAGGTATTAGGTAATTCCATTAGGTAATTGTCCTAATGGAATGAGATGTACAAGTGAATAAGTACAGGTTGTGCAGCAGACGTTTCACTGCAAAAATATTTCAACATGATCTGCATGCAGACTTAACAAGCAAGTTGTATTTTTTGGCAAAACTTTCTGGAAGTCAAGAGCTACAGTCAAGAGCTGGATTCACAAGCCTGCTTGTTTATAATAGGGCTGCTTCATCTCACCAGACGTACTGTTGCCTCAGTCTGAATCTCAGAATATGTCTATTCTGTGATGTAAACTGGAGGTTTTACAAGTGACTGTGTACATTTTACTTTCATTGTGGTTTGAAATGCGCTCATCCACGCTCATTCTTTCTATCCCTGAAATATGGAAATAGCCTTGTGGTTCCCCTTTAAGCGCCAGAATAGTGGGGCCAACCAGGAACCCCACTGTCTTGCCCAGATGAGAAAGATTCCTGGGGTTCTCTTCAGTCCTGAGACATGGATATCCCCCCGACAGCACGGCCAGCTGTTTCCTAGACAGCGATCTGTGAGCCCCCCGGTGCCGCCGCGAGCCCCATAAACACAGGCCTCGCCAGCAGGCTGGGTGGGGTCTCGAGGCCGGTCAAGCACGAGCTGGCCGGGGGTCCCTCACCTGTTGTTGTTGCAGAAGTTCTGGCAGCTCATACAGTCCGAGGGGTCCGACTGGGGCAGCGCCGTGTACACGCCGCCCCCCTGCCAATCAAGAGCAGAGGGTTACACCTGGGCGGGGGTCCGGACGCGCCCAGCGAGGCAGGCAGCCGGTCGGACCGCCGGACAGACGGTCAGGTGGGCAGGCGGGCGGCGGGCCGGTCACTCACGTTGTGCGGGCGGTGCGCGCCAGCCAGCAGCGGCGGGCCGCCGGGCAGCTTGTGGTGCAGGTGTGGGCAGCCGCCGGGCAGAGGGCGCAGGCCGCCGTTGGCGTGGCTGGTGCCGGGCAGCGCTGCGTACTCCAGGACGTGGCTGCTCATCTCCGCGGGCTGGTACAGGTACCCGGGAGGGTCGTACTCTGCGGGGCGAGAGGCGGGGGTCAGCGCGGGTCTGTATAGCGCTGTGCCGTGATCGGCGCGCCGCCGGACTCACTGTGCAGGCTGCTCTGCTGTCTGCTCCTCCACAGGCACATGGCAATGAAGGCCAGCAGGATGAGGACCATCACGCCCAGCACGCTGCCCACGATCAGGTACAGCATGTCCCCTCCCCGCTGGCTCTGGACACCGCCTGCGCCGCCGCCCCCCCGCTCCGGGGGCCCTGGGGGCGTCACCGCTCCGGCCCCCCCTCCAGGAGACACGCCGGGGGCCTGTCTGGCTGCAGAGGCAGGAGATTGAGATCACAGATCACTCCCTGTGTTCACTCCTGTCTCTCACAGATCACTCCCCGTGTTCACTGCTGTCTCTCCCAGATCACTCCCTGTGTTCACTCCTGTCTCTCTCCCAGATCACTCCCTGTGTTCACTCCTGCCTCTCTCACCTTTGGTCTCACAGATCATGACGTTGCTGTACTCGCTCTCTCCACCATCGTTGAAGCACTGCATCTTGATGTCATAGGACGTCTCGGGCTGCAGCTGGCCAATCAGGTGCCACTGCTTGTTGCCTGTTGGGAACAGAGGTAAGGATGAGTTCAGAGCTTCCCAGCCTCACACAGCCCTCCGGCCACCTGAGCTCACTGAAGGATTTCACAGAACAGGTCAGATACACATGCAGGCAGACAAGTGGGCCTGAGAGGAGCTGCAGATGTGAGAACTGGTGTCCTCCGTTCCCAACAACGTCTTTCAGGAACTGGAGTGGATTCCAAGTTGCTTAGCTTGGCCATGGCATCTCTTCTGAGCACTCCCTGAACCGCTGAGCACTCCCTCAGCCTAAGAGAGCAGGAAGCAGCTTTAACGGCCCAAGCAAATGGAGAGGAAAGTATGATGGCTGTGGTGCTGATACTTAGGAGTGCCAGTAGGGGGTGCTCACCCTGCGGTCTGTGTGGGTCCAAATACAGTGACAGGGACACTACACTGTAAACAGGCGCCGTCCTTCAGATGAGACATAAAACCGAGGTCCTGACTCTCTGAGGTCATTAACAATCCCGGGGTGTTTCTCGAGAAGAGTAGGGGTGTTACCCCAGTGTCCTGGTCAAATCTCCTCCTGGTCTTTACCCATCATGGCCTCCTAATAACCCCCGTATCTGAACTGGCCTCATCGCTCTGCTCTCCTCCCCACTGAGAGCTGGTGTGTGGGGAGAGGACTGGAGCATCATCATTACGATCATTATGATGCCCATGACGACAGTCGCACCACGTGCTGTGCCTCACGCTCGCTCTGCCTGCTCTGGACAGAAGGCACTCTCAGCTGCGGCCAGGCCAGGCTGGAAAGCGCGTGCCGACAGCCAGAGGCTGTAGGTGGCCTGGGACACTTCTGCATGGAAAATACTGAACAGAGGACCACTTCATCTTGTGAGTCAAGGCTTGAGCAGCGCCTGGAATGACCTCAGCTCCCCTCTCGCTCCATTCCCTCACGCCTGCTGTCAGAATCAAACTCAACCAGCACTATTAGCCTGACTGATGATCTACAGTGTTGCCAAAGCAAAAACATCTTGGCAAAACATGGACAAACATTACAAACATTTACGACAATAAAGTATTATTTGAGAGGCCCAGTCTCTGGTCCCCCGGCTGGGACAGGAGGTCACACACTGGGCTGCAGCTCTGTTCAGAGAGCTGCTCGGATTGTGGCCGGTTCTGGGATCCGAGTTGTTATTTGAGGGATGGGGTTTGTCTAATCCCAGAGGGTTTCTCGGAGTGCAGCGGAAAGTGCGCTGTCTCTCTCTGCTCTCACTTCCTTATCTCCACTGACACCAGGTCTCTCTCCCCTCTTCACTCACTGCCCTCACCCCTCTTTGCCCAGGACCGCCTGTCCCTTCCTGCTCCTCACCCTCCTGCAAGCAGGGAGGGGTCTACTCAGTGCAGGGAACAGAGTGGTGCTGGTGAACCTAACCTCCAGGCACAAATGTCCAAACCAGTGTCCCAGATTGAGGAGACATGAAACTGCTCTTCCGGAGGGGTCCAGGCTCACTGCCACCCTGACGCTGCTGTGGCCAGAGGTACTGCTCCCTGGTCTGGAGAAGCCCCTGCTGTGTGGCAGGATGTCTGGGGCTCTTTGGAGTGAAGAGCGCTGTGTGAAGGTAAGAACTGTGCTGTTCTGTTTAGGTTTGCAATCGGAGCGGCACTGGTAGAGTACAGGAGTACAGGAATTCTAGGATGTGTCTCTCCTTGCCCTCATCTTCCAGTAGTGCTCCTCACTTTCCTCGGTCTCCCTCTCGTGAGTTCACCCCCCACCCCTGGTCCGTCAGTCTCGGGGGTGTGGGGTGGAGACAGGCTCTCCTACGAGACCTGGAGAGGTCCAGCTTTCCTACAACACACTGCACCACACAGACTCACCGGTGTGTGTGTGTGTGGAGTGTGTGCAGGGGGTGTGGTGTGTGGTGTATGTGTGTGGAGTGTGTGTGTGTGGTGTGTGCCTGTGTGTGTAAACATAACTATCAGTGACCACCGCTGCAGAAACACACTGATGCGCAAGAGCAAGGGGGAGTGAAGGGACTGTCGGTGCAGAGCAGGCTGGGAGACGGGGAGCAGAGCAGGCTGGGAAGAAGACCCAGCACACAGGCTGTTAACATTCCTCACTGCAACCTGAGAGCCTGTCCTGCCAGGTGTAGGGTTTCAGTTCTGGGCCATTAGTGAGGCAGTCATTCATTAAAGCCTCATTACCCAGCCCTGCTCTCAGGCACAGCAGCTGACCTCGCTGACCTCTCCCTCCCCACGCCCCCCACAGCCCTTCAGCACTCGCACTCTTCCCATCAGAATCCTGCTGCCGCCCTCTTCGCCTCTCCCACAGCGCCTCCTGCTGGCGTCTAGGGGTCGCTGAGCTCTCTCAGACCTGTGCTCGCTTTGTTAAGGGGATTGTGGGAGACACACTCCGCGCAGAGTGGTCAGAAGTAAAAAGCCACGAGAGCAATCGGCCAAGCTGGGCTCTACCACGCCCCCAGCTGAGCCGGTTCTGTAGTGGGGGCAGGTCCTGGAGGACCGGGAAGAGTGAGCGGACTCGGCTCGTTAAGAGGAGAGTGGGAACGAGCCCCAGGAGACGCCAGGTGAGTGCAGGGCTCCTGGCTCAAGAGCCCAGCTCCTCCACTGCCTGAGGTCACAGCGCCCTCACCTTCCACGACGTCCCTCTTGTAGTCGCTGTCGTTGTCGCTGTCCGTGGGGCGGTAGTAGATGTAGAAGCCCTGGATGGGGGTGTTGTTGTTGCTGGAGGGTGTGTACTGCGGGGAGAGAGATGGAGAGGCTCAGAGACAGTCCTCAGACAGTACTCAGTCGACTGCGGGGAATGATCTTATCATGGATAATGATCATGATAATCCCTCTGAAGCGATGGGAGCCTTTCTCTGTATCTGGGGCCCATTCGATGTTCTTAGAAGTCATAAGGCTTTCATTACAAAGACAGGGCACAGGAATGGGATTAAGGAATCACGGCTCTCAGCAAGCGCAGATTAGGGGGTGATTGACGAGCGAGTGATGGAGGGGCTGGGATCATGGGAAACCGTCCTGCCGGTCTCTGGCTCTTGTCAGCACCTCAAGAACAACCCCTGTCCCCGGCCCCGCGGACACTATCTGGTGTCTGATGGGAGGTCTGACGGTCTGTGTAAGCGCGATGCGTTGAGCTGCGCGTGGAGCCCCAGAGACCTCCTTCAGAGCGGCCTTTCCGCAAGAAAAACAGCCTTCTGCTGCAGGGCAACGTCCCCGTGGCTCCACAGCTCCCCTCCGCCCAGCCGGAGATCCTGCGATCCCGTGGGATCGGCCCGCTTCAGCAGCCAACAGCCCCAGAGGGGCAGGAAGAGGATCACAGTCCTGAATCCACGCCCAGCCCGCGGGGGCACGTGCGTCGTGGCCACTTACGGTCCAGCGCAGGATGATCTGAGTGTCGCTAACAGCGTCGGTGGAGGAGATGTGGGGGCCGGCGACAGGACGGGTGGTGAAGTGCGTGCTGACTGCAGGCACATGGTACGGCCTGGAGGGGGCACTGTGCGGACTCTCCCCGTAGGTGTTGATGGCGATCACCCGGAAACGGTACGTTGCCCCTGGAACACAGGAGGACAGAGAGGCGTCTCGGAACAGAACAGTGGTGACCGCATGAGGCAGGAAGAACCTGAGGTCACGACCTTCCAGAGTCTTACAGAGTGTGGGGCGTCCCCCAGGGCTCTGACTCGGACACTCCGGGAGTGTGGGGCGTCCCCCAGGGCTCTGACTCGGACACTCCGGGAGTGTGGGGCGTCCCCCAGGGCTCTGACTCGGACACTCCGGGAGTGTGGGCGTCCCCCAGGGCTCTGACTCGGACACTCCTGGTCTTTGAGACGCGCCCGCGGTCTGAACCCTGCAGAATTCGGAAGCGCCAGGTCCAACCCCTCTGTCTCGCGCTGCCGGCCTCACCTGGCTCCAGGCTCCGGACCTCCACGGACAGCTTGAGCGGCGAGATGTTGTCGGCCGCGGGGACCCAGTCGGCGCTGCGGCCCTGCTTGCGGTACTCCACCCGGAAGGCGGTGATGGGGGAGCCGCCGTTGGCCCGCGGGATCCAGGTGACGTACACCGAGCTCTCCGTCGCCATGGAGATGGTGGGCCGGTCTGGAGCCTCGGGCACTGGGGAGGAGAGAACCAATCAGGGGGCTGGGAGCATCTGCAGCCAATCACTGTGCTCTCTCGCACCCTCACTCCTGTTCCCCTCCCCGGCTCCGGAGACTGTGGACGGCCTCCGGGACCCACCAGAGGAGGCGCTAGTCTGCGCCGGCGGCCATGTTCCCACAGCAACGTGGACATTGCTGACGGGCTTTTTGGCAGCTCGGGTGACGAGGTGAGCGACCCAGTTGGCTGTCCAGTCTCTCGTTGAGTCGTGCCACAGGCGCCGGCGAGAGCGATCTCTCGTCTGACTGCTCTCCCTAGCCCTCATCCTGCCCCCAGTCCTCAGCCTCCCCGCGAGACCAGGATTAGTCCTGCAGTGTCACACTGGGCCCTGAAGGGCCAGAGAATTCACCTGTCACATCTGTTCAGTGACACTCCGAAACAAAACATCTGCTCATGTTCCTGATATCGCTATGAATGCGTTGTGTTTCCCCTGATGCTTAATGAACACTTTGGGTCAGATTGCTCCACTGTTTCTGCCACCTTTAACTTGTTAAGATTTGAAATGTGCATCTATCCCTGCCCTCCCCTTGTTAACTCAAACAGATGTTCAGGTTGTAAAAAACACAAAAACAGCACCAAATAAAGAACCAAACTAGACACTACACTCACAGGACAAGCATGCTGTAGGAGCAAAGAGTACTCACTGTGCAGGCACTGCGCCAGAGAGCCAGGGAGAGAGAGTGCAAGAGACGGGGTTAGTGAGAAGCAACTGAAGACACACGCACACACGCACACGCGCACACACACACCCACACACACCCACACACCCACACACACCCACACACACCCACACACACCCACACACACCCACACACACCCACACACACCCACAGCAGTGGGCAGGGCTGTGAACTCACATCCTGGGTGGGTCACTGCTCTCGTGCCCTTGACTAAGAGACCTCCATCAGACCACTTGAGCAGAAGCAGTGTACAGCATCACTTTGGAAAAAAGCATGAGCTGAAGCTCGTGGTGTGTTGAGACCCCCAAATGACGGCGTGATGTTGCTACCAAGAGATGTCTGTAATCATCCTCATCATGTCTGCGCACTTTACACTGGCTGAATGCGGAAGCCAGCCTTTTTGAGAAGTGACCTCATGCTCTAACACTTCCAAGGCAAGATGTGTGGACAAGCCATGAGTCGCAAGAACTGGCTGCCCAGAACCGGTGTGTTTGTGGTGGCTCTCTCTTGTGGTTGGTGTTGTGTCACACTATGTCAACATGGCCTCATCAACAGTCCAGAGAGTAAAATGAGACTATACAACACTTTCCCAGTAATAAACACAAAAGAATACAGTCAACACATTTCAGTATTATTCATTATCATCTCATTTCATCATGATGCTGATCCAATGCAGCCCTCATACTGAAGTCCACAGCCCACCAGAGCCATGCTGCGCCATCTGAATCGAGGTCAAGGGGGGCTTTGGGGAGTCCAGACCCTTCAGGAGGTCAGCCCGGACACTGGAGTGGACACCCCTGCTGTTACGAGCAGTGCCCGGCATCTCTAATGTCTCTACTGTCCCAGAGTCAGGAGCTCCACTGACATCCCATCTGAAAGATGGCCCTGGAGGAACAGCGCCCCTCACTGGCCTGCCGTGCCAACCCTAACCCTGAGCCGGGACCGCAGAGGAGAATCCCGCTCTCGGACCCGAGACACACTTACCCCGGTCGTGCACCACCACCCCGAAGTGCGTGTTCAGGGCCTCGCTGGCGGGCAGCTTCTCGGGCCTGCCCGCAGGCGGAGAGGGGCCCTGCGGATGGGGGCTCCTGCTGGAGGGGCCGCTGCGCTCTGCGGGGAGCGAGGGAGAGGAAGACAGAGGGAGAGGAAGACGCTGGTCACTGCTGCTCAGATATCCGAGAGGTAACCCCTCCTGCACGGAAGAGCTGTCTTCCAGCAGAGTAGTTCATCATGCCTTCTGCCTCGGTAGCTCAGAGCTGGGGACTATTAGGAGGCCATGAGGGGAAAAGACCCGGGGGAAATTTACACCCTTGCTCTTTTCGAGAGACGCCCTGGGACTTTTAATGACCACAGAGAGTCAAGACCTCGGTTTTACATCTCATCTGAAGGACAGCACCTTTTTTACAGTAAAGTGCCCCCTGCTGGCCCCACTGACACCTCTCCCAGCAGCAGCCTCAGCTCTCCCAGGAGTCTCCCCTCCAGGTACTGGCCAGGCTCTCACTGCTGGGCTCCAGTGGGCGGCCAGCTGGGAGCTGCAGGGTGATGCCACAAGGGCTCTCAGCATGTTCCCAGTTAGTTCCCGGTGGTGGATTTGTGGCCCAGCTGACACCCTGGAGTGGCCTCAAGCTCTGCTTCCCCCTTTCCCCCAGCCGGTCGGGTGCTGTATGGAGCACCCCTGGGACCTACCCTTGCCGGTGCGGAAGGTGAGCATGGCGGGCTGGCCGTCCCCGCCGGCGCTCCGGGCCACCATGAGGACCTCGTACAGACTGGAGGGCTCCAGCTCAGACAGGCGCAGGGCCTTCTCGCTGCCCGGCACCCGCACCGTGTGCCAGCCTCCCAGCACAGTGCCCATCTCGTCCAGCTGCAGGACACAGACACACACACACGAGCGCACACGCCAGACACACACACACAGGCACGAGCGCACACGCCAGACACACACACACAGGCACGAGCGCACACGCCAGACACACACACACATGCACGAGCGCACACGCCAGACACACACACACATGCACGAGCGCACACGCCAGACACACACACACACGCGCACGAGCGCACACGCCAGACACACACACACACGCGCACGAGCGCACACGCCAGACACACACACACACGCGCACGAGTGCACACGCCAGACACACACACACACAGGCACGAGCGCACACACCAGACACACACACACGCACGAGCACACACGCCAACCCCACATGAGAATAAACAACACACAAAAACAAAACAAGAGAGAGAGAGGAGAGAGGAGCTGTCAGAGTCTGGACGTCTGTGACGGGGCTTGCTGCCTACAGCCACACGCACACGAGACAGGAGGCCAGGAGGGACCAGCTGCCCCACCAGCTGTAGGGCTCCGCTACATGGAAATCGCCTCTCCTTTCTTCCAGACATCGCTCACTCTTATCACTCTGCTGCAACAGGCTCACGCGGACCTGTCTGGAGCAGCCGGGAAGTGGAGGGTGCATACAGGCTACAGTGTGGAACGGGGTACAGTGCTGAAACGTGGGGCGCACGCCTGTGGACACCCACCTTTCGGTACTTCACGAAGTAGGCAATGATGGGGCTGCCCCAGTCCCGGCCGGCCCGCCACTCCAGGTCGTACACGTCTGGCTTGTGAGTCTGTGGGGGGCTGGTGATGATTGGCGCTTCAGGGGTGGGCGTGTCGCTGGTCCTCTCTGTGGGTGGGGCCAGGCTGCCTCCTAGCCCCTCCTCCTGCGCGGGTGGCTCCTCCCCCTCATCACTCTGGACAGGGTGAGCTGAAGGCGGAGCTTCGGGAGCCACACCCACTGTGCTGGTCTCCAAGGGTGCTGTCAATCAAGCAGAAGAGTATTGTTATTAGCTGCTGGGAAGAGTTTCAGATATAAAGCGATCATTTCCACAAAGACGGACATGTGCTAGGGCATTGCAGTCCAGAAACCAGGAATATAAGGAACCCATACAATGCAGAAAATCTGTTAGATTCCTTGGTACTTTGTAAAAAAGAAACAAGTTTTCAGTTTTCTTTATTCAACACTAATGACTATGCTGAGGTTTACTCCAGGATTAATTAACTAACGAAAAAATACAATCATGTAACAGCACAAAAGAAATAGTTTAAGAGAATGTGAATCCTGACAAAATCCAAGCTTGTTTTTCTTTCAGCTTTACATGTTCTAACTACACCTGTCACTGATTGTCAATAAGGAATGAAGGATGGGGAATATATTAAATATATTATTTAATGGGATACATTAAGGCACCCTTCCTAGACTGAAGAGCAGCAATAATCCTGTCTCTGAGACCGCTATCGATATCTTCTGACCCACAAACCTGAACACCCAGACCAGACTGCCAGGTTCTGATCTGATATACAGGTGCAGCTCCTCATGATCAGCTAATCTTGTGCACTTGTGCTCATTCCCTTCTCGGCCGATGTGGCAGCAGTAAGGATGCACTCGCTTTTTCACACAAGCCTACCGACTGTTGGCCGATTATTCTGTTTAGTCATTCAGTTCAAGCTTTGTCTCCTTTGTGAAATTCGTTTTACAGCACACTCGCAACATAACAATGACAGACGGACAGAACTAACAACCAAGCAAGAGAAGACAGTGAGGACACATTGTTTGAAAGAGATGTTGCAGTGGGGATGAAGACTCCCTGTATCTGTTAGTTTCACCCCTGGGACACAGAGGGGTTGGAGTGAACTCACAGTGGAGGGGTGAGACACAATCCATAACTCGCTCTGCTTTCTTTGTCACCCTGCTTGAAGAGGATATTGAAAGCGATCTGATTTGCCCCAGTGGATCTGCTTCTTAGTTTGACTAATTTTTCCCAGCCTATTACAATCAATGGTACTGATGTTACCAAACCAGCAGGTGAGACGGTGTTTTTAATACGCTTTCAATAAAAAAACTTGTAGAAAAGTGTTAGGATCCTGTCTGTCTGTCTGTCTGTCTGTGAGCAGCTCCAGTACTTGACGTCATTGACCATTCTGACTCTCTGACCTTTAATTACAGTAGGCTGGGGGGGGTGCACTTTCTCTTAAATCAATGACCAGCTCCTTTGTTTTTAAGGCCAATACTTGCCAAGAGAACTGAACTCTCACCATTAAATAAAACCATTTAGAAAGGGTCCATGCTAAATAACGACAAATTAAGACGTGTGTGTTACTTGTCACATGTGGTTAGATTTATCTGGACTTGGTGAGGACTATATCTTCTTCTGTATAACTTTCTTTTTCACATCGCTGTATTAAATAGTGTTTGTACAGCTCAGTCTCCGCTCATCTCCTCCGCGCTACTGGGAAGGTGCTCGAAGAAATTCAGACACAACAAGATAAACACAAAAACATCCCATACAGAAAAAAGAAAGTAAATAAACGCAACAATAAGAGGATGAAAACAGAGGAGAGGTATCCGAGTGTCCAGGGCACTGGTCCAGGCTGTTGGGTTTATCTTACAAAACAAACTAGCCTCAAGCCAGTAACTCTACACCAGGACCCGAGCCCAGCTGTCCCACATTCCTCTCCTGGGCCATTAACATACCAGAGCCCAGCCTCCTCCCCCACCTCTGCCTCGAGTCAAGAGAGCGACCCAGAAACACTTCCAGGAAGGGCTGATGGGCGTTTTCAGCTCTAAATCATTGTTTAAACTTATCAGCAGACTGATGAACATTTATTTCCGTAACCAATGAAAATATTTCCCTTTTTTTTGCCAATGAACGTATTTTCATTTGCCCCAAGAAGTTCTAATGAATCTTCAGGCTTTTGCGTCATCCTTGTCATTTCAGAATCGGAACAAATGGTACGGCACCTGATTGGACGGTGAGCATCCCAGAGGACTGGGCAGAGCCAATCCCGTTGTCCACAAGGCACTGGTACACGCCCTGGTCCTGGGGCCCTGCAGAGGCGATGCGGAGGGAGGAGCCGGAGAGCTGGAGGCGGGGCGAGGGCGCGAGGGGGGCGGAGTCCAGCAGCCAGGTGACGTTGGGGGCGGGGTTTCCCCTGGACGCGCAGGTGAAGTTCACAGACGAGCCCACAGACACAGACCGGTCCGACAGTCCCTGTGACACCGAGGCCGGCTCTGTTGAAGGGAGGCGAGGGAAAGAGAGGAAGAGAGGGGAAAAAAGAGAGACAGCTTGAAATGGACCGGAAACCCAAACGATGCAGGAGCCAACAGGCCGGACAGGATGATGCTGTCGGGCTGTGCCACATGGTGGAAGCCCTGCGCAGAGGACAGGGTTCCGAGACGGGACGCACGGCTCGGCCACGGCCCGCCACTCACCGAGCACTTCCACGGTGTAATCGGCGCTGACCACCCTGCCCGTCTGGTCCCGCGCCGAGCAGCGGTAGGCGCCCCCGTCGCTCCTCGCCGCGCTGTCCAGGACCAGGCTGTGGTGCTGCAGCCTCCGGCCCGGCCCGAGAGCCACCTGCCGCCCCTCCCGGGTCCAGCGCACGGCGGGGGCGGGCCGTCCCGCCACGATGCACTCCAGGACCAGGGGCTGCGCCTTGACCACGGACACCGTCTGCGGGGAGGTGGGGTACACTATCCGCAGGGGGGCGGGGGCGGCGGGGTCGGCCGGGCCTGGCGGGGGGACAGACAGTGGGAAAGTCAGGGCCGGCTGTCCCCGCCCCCCCAGAGCGCCGGCGCAGGGAGAACAGGGGCCGGACTCACGTGTGACTGCCAGCCTCTGGCCGTGGGGCTCCAGCCTGGTCTCCTGGGTCACCGGGTTGTGCGCCCCACACCTGTACGTGCCCTGGTGCTGGGGCGACACGGCCCGGATCTGAAGGCTCCCAGACGGAAAAATGAAGAAGTCTCCTGGCAGGAGGAGGGGAAGGGCAGGTGAGTGCGGGCCGCGTGGGGAGACGCCATTTCTAACTTGTTCGCCCCGTAAAGTCAGCAGAAATGCAGAAGATGAGAAACCCCCAGATGGGCCCTACTTCATCAGAGGTGAGAGTGCGACCTATAGCCTCCTCTCTCCCTCCCGCCCCTCGGCCATGCGCACCTGGGACCAGCCCTCCCAAGACCATACCTGTGGACTGCTCCAGCCACTGCCCTCGAACCCTGAACCGCGGCACAGCCGGAGGGGTGCTCGGAGGAAGCTGGCACCGGATCAGCGCCGTGCCGCCCTCCTCCGCCTTCACCAGCCGCCGGGGCAGATCCCTGAACGCCGAGATCTCTGCCAAGAGACAGCGGGTCAACTCTGCACCGGTGTGTGTGTGTGTGTGTGTGTGTGTGTGTGTGTGTGTGT